GGTCATTTGGTCAGTGTTGCTTGTGAAGAGGTCACTTCCCATATCCCTTCATCTCCCTCTTCCACCTCTTCTTCTTCCTTCTCCTCTTCTTCTACTTCTATATCCTGCCTTTTTCCTAATCCATTTCACAAAAGGACTTCTCGGTTGTTGTTCTTATTTCCTCCTCTTTATTATTTTTTTATATTGTGTCTTTTAGTATCCATGCAATGGAAACAGAGTTACAACCCTGACACATTTTCTCCATACTGTCGGCCCTCCATTTTCACAGGGGACCCCCCAAAAAACAGAGATTCACAAATATTCAATCCCCGTAGGATTGAATGGGGTGCACCCTATTGATTTAAATGGCAGTCGCCCCTCCATGAATACATAAAACCTCAGACTTCAAGTCCGTGAGAATGGAGGGGTGACTGTAGCCTTTTCCGGTTCCTGTGTCCCGCTGTGCGTGTTACTCAGTGATTCAATGGGACTTGAATGGGGTGCACCCCTGCGGGTATGCGCAGGGATGCACCCCACTGATTTAAACCGAGGTCACCCCTTCGTGAATACGTAAAACCGCAGACTTCGAGTCCGCGAGAATGGAGGGGCAACTGTATTTACCTAGCCTTTTCAGTTCCTGTGTCCCACTGTGTGTATTACTCAGTGATTCAATAGGACTTAAATGGGGTGCACCCCTGCAGGTATGCGCAGGGATGCAACCTACTGATTTAAACAGAGGTTGCCCCTCTGTGAATATGAGTCTGTGAGAATGGAGGGACGACTGTATTTACCTAGCCTTTTCCAGTTCCTGTGTCCTACTGTGTGTGTTACTCAGTGATTCAATGGGACTTGTAACTCCCAAGGAGACATGCAGAGGACTGTAGGCTTAAGCGCATTTAAATATACCTTCCCCTTGCCCCTTGAGAGGTGTAAGCAGAAGCTGGTACGTTATCACAGTAAACAGAGGCCGCCGGAGCAAATGCACTTTCCATTTTGTGAATGATAAAAGAAGCAGTGCAAAAAAATGGGGGGGGGGGGAGAGAGAAGGATAAGAGTAGCATCACTGGGGATTAAATCACCAGGTAAACAGGATACAGAGAAAGAGAGCATCCCTTGCCTGCTATTGGAAAGGAAAAGCATTTTAAATTCCCACTTACATAAAGCCAATGGTACAGTTTGTACTCCCACCCTCCCCATCCCACTGCATTCCCCCTTTTTTATACCAAATGTCAGCAGAAATATAATTCGTTTAATGAGCGTATAGAGAGATGCGTCAGCTGACTGGCCTGCGTTGTCTCTGCAAAGTTTTGCAGGTCACAAGGGGTCAAACTCTGTATGGATGGATGGATAATCCTGTCCTTTTATAGGACCAAAGGCAGCAGCCGAAAGGGTTCTTGCATGGACGTGATGCATATGGGAGAAAGCAGGATAGGGGATGCTGTTTTTGGGTGGGTCTGGGTCCAAAAGGGATGCAGTGCTTTTCCAATCAATGCTTTGGGTATGTGTCATTGACCAAAGTGGTCCTGCATGTGTTTGATTGGGAAAAAAGCTGCTTTGCTGGGAGCTGTAAAAGATCAGAAGCCTCAAACAGTTATGTAACTTTTCAGGGAGAGAGAGAGAGAAAAGATAAGAGCTGGCAATTGGGGAATGCAAAGGCTAAGCCTGCAATGAACAATTCTGTCAGATTGGTATTTTTAACAAGGGCACCGCGCTGGCCTCCAAAAGCATTGCTAAAGCCCAGTCAAAACAAGCAAGGAGGAAATTGTGAAATTTTGCACACACAGAGAGAGAGAGGTGTTTATTCTCTGAAAGACAGGCTTTCTACCAGAGCTTGGAGAAGTTCCCTTTTTTAGGTTACAGTTCCTAGGACCTACTTTCCACAATAGCCAGGATGGGTGGGGGATTTTTAGGATTTATATTGTGTGCATGTGTGTGTGTTTTAAAGGGTTTTTTTTTTCCTTCCCAAGCTCTGTTTTCTACCACTCTCTTTTGGAGTCTGAAGTGTCAGCAGCTCTGATTCCACATAGCTCTGGTTTTGGAGGATCAGATATTCAGCTTCAGAACCCGCGAGAAATAAAAAGAGATTTCAAAAACCCTGCTGGATGCTTTTTCAAGGTCACCTGTGAAAGGCAGATCTGGGGCATTCAAAAACTTTATTTTAGCACCAGATCAGACTACTATGACTTGCTGAATTCAAGGCCATAGGAAATGTAGCCACTTCCCTTTTTCATTTAAGGACTGCAGGCAGATGTATGGGCTAATCCGCCTTGCAGACATAATGCACTTTGATACCGCTTTAGCTGTCATGGCTCAGAGCTATAGAATTCTGGGATTTGTAGTTCTGTGAGATATTTAGCCTTCTCTTGTCAGGGAGCTCTGGTGCCACAATAAACTACAAAGACCAGAATTCCATAGCATTGAGCCGTGGCAGTTAAAGCGGTGTCAAACTGCATTATTTCTGCAGTGAAGTTAATGGGGAGAACAAAATGAGGGCATTGTCTGCCCCGAAAGAATTCTGTCTCCCCAAATTAAATTTTCCTTCAGTCCCCAAATTTCCATCACTATAGAAACATAAAACATCAGTTGAACCTTTGGAAATACAGTTTAGAAATACAAATAAAAGGGACAGATAAAGTGACCATGGAAATGCAAACACAGCAAAGAGAAG